GCCCACTGTCATGTTAAATAGTATTTGATTAAAAAATAATGAATTGTGATTTCTTTACTATGTTCTTCTGTAAATAGCAATGTAAAAATCAATGTACTTAAATAAAATTATCTACACACAGAAGTCTGTTTTCTGTTTAAATATTGTTTTTAAAGTTTTCAAAACAAACATGACACAGTATTGAGGTTGGCAAGTGCTCATCAGAAATACTCAAGAATTAATTTCACAGCATTAACAATTGGTGATAAAAGAGGAACATAAATGACAAAAAGAATGGGTTAACGCTCCGCCTCTTTAACCCCATAGGACAAGCCCTCTATAGGTTTCGACCCCTGTGGCTTGGACCCCCATTCTCTTCTAAAATCACCAGCCATGCAGGGTGGGACCTGTGTGCTGCCATGATGCACCAGGAAAGGAAAATTACCGATAGGCAAGTATACAATTTTTCGTTTTCCTGGCACATCATGGCAGCACACAATGGGATAAAGAAATTACACATGGAGGGAATACTGCAAAAAATATTTAATATCAGAAATACAAAACTTAATAGAAGAGCCAGTGGCGATAACCGTTCTGCCAAAGGCTACAGTAGTGAGAGCAGCAGGATCGATTCGGTAATGCCGAATTAAAGTATTTCGGGAGGACCAGGTAACCGCCTTGCAAATGGTTTCAGCTGACACGCTGCCCATGAAGTAGCCACTCCTCGGGTAGAATGTGCCCTAACCTCTTGCCGAGGTGATTTGAAGGAAGACTTCCGGATGAAGGGACCCCACTCGTGTGTCCCCACCAAGGAGCGACTGAGGTAGTCGGCAAGCGTACTGCTTGGAAATTCCATAAATTCGCCTGTGCCCAGCACATGACAGGTTCCACTTCTAACATCATTGAGTGGCTGTGGGTACCTCCCTGCCTCTGAATGTATGCCACCGCCACCCTGTTGTCCAGCTGCAGTTGGACGGACCTGCCCATCAGGTGAGGCGCAAATGCTCGTAGTGCCTGGAAGGCACCTCATCTCTAACACATTGGATGTGTGGATGGCCGCCGAGAATCTCCATCTGCCCTGAGCCACTAGATGTCCGTAGTGCGCCCCCCAACCCGAGTGGCTGGCATCCGAGGTGACCAGGATTGGCTGTGGAGGAGAAATCAGGTGGAACAAGAGAAGATTCTTCCGGTGAGTCCACCACCATAGAGATGACCTCATCCTGTGGGAGACTATGATCCTTTGAGATAGGCTGACCTTGTTCCATTGGGTCAGGAATCCCAATTGAAAGCCTCTTAGCCGCCAGTGGGCCCACCTCACCATAGGAATGATGGAGGAGAGTGTTCCAATCAGACTGAGGCAATTTGAAGCTGGTGTCTGACAGGTGGATATCATGCGCAAAGCTTTTTGCCGGATACTCTCCACCTTCTCCTCTGGGAGGGAGATGGTATTCCTTGACGTGTCCAAGAGAGCCCCCAGAAAGATCATGGACTTTGCAGGGATAAGCTGGGATTTGTGGTTGTTCACCAGCCACCTGAACCGTTGGAGTGTGGAAAGGAGAGCTCGATTAGCACTTCCCTGTCCTGGGCGAGAAGGATGATATCGTCCAGATAGTGATTCACCCTGAGGCCCTGTTCCCAAAGAAGAGCGATGAAAGGAAGGAGAACCTTGGTGAAGGTCCTGGGTGCTGTACAGATTCCGAAAGGGAGGCAGCAGAACTGAAAATGGAGGCCGAGGAAGGAGAAATCGGAGATACTTCTGAAATCGGGGATGGATAGGGACGCGAGGATAGGCGTCCACCAGATCAACGGAAGACATCCAGTCTCCTGGTCTAATAAGCGGAAGAATGGTTTGGAGAGATTCCATGTGAAATCGTGGAACAACGATATACCTGTTGAGCCGTTTCAAGTCCAGCACTGGTCTGAGATCCCCGGACTTTTTCTTGACCAAAAATAGGGAAGAATAAACTCCTGAGAATATTTTCTCTTGAGGTATTAGAGTAATTGCATGTGTGTCTAGCAACGTCTGAATGTAGTGAAGGAAAAGCATAGCCTTTCTCTGAGAATCTGGGACCTGTGTGGGAACATAGCGGGCACGCGGAGGGGTTCTGTGAAACCTCCAGTGATGCCCCTGTGATACGGTAGCCAGTACCCAGTTGTCCTGAATAGCAGACCTCCATGCCTGGAAAAAGAGGCGCAGGCGAGCGCCCACT